CTAAGGCTTTCCCTTCCAAGCACATCCCATCTATCATCAGTATCTCCCCCCTCTGTCAACCTGTTGATGGTAAAGTACCTTTCCGCTTTGTATATTCACCCATGGGCATCATCTCCCTCAAAAATAGGCATCTTCAGCTTCCTCATCCTGAGATTGCCTCGTTCCCTCTGTCCCCTTCATAATTTCCCATTCACTGAGGAGGTGGTTCCCCCCAAGTGTCCCAATCGTCCATTATATATTCATACCCAATCCTTTCATCAAATTCTCACATTCTCCTTTTAAATTTAGCCCTCCTTTGGTCATAATTATCCATTTCCCTTCAAATTCAGCACCCTTCCACTCATGTCCAACCCCCTCACGCCTCCCCACATACTCTCTACCCGGCTCTTCCCTAGGAATAGGCTCTAGGGGAGGTATTCTCTTTTCTCTCTTTTGAGTCTCCACCTCCTAATCTTCCCTTTGCCTTATTCGATTAGAATTTTTCCCGCTTCCTTGGTTGTCGGAGGCTTCCCCTCACCTCTGACGATGTTGTTTTAGATTGGCCCTTGAGCAACTTCTTCAACATCTCCCCAAGGCTGGAAAAATTTTCATCCATCTTCTTGTGGATGACTAAAATTGATTTTGACATCTGAAAGTTGAGTATGAAGATATGAAATTTTAGTTTTCAATTGTCCGATCTCCCCTTCCAACACTTCTACGTTTCATCTTGCCATGGGAACCTGGATTTAGGCTCCAATAGCAAAGAGTAACAAGTTTGATGAGAATTCTGGCCTCTAATCGGCAAAAACAACAAGATCAAATACAGAACGCAACAAAATTAGCAAAATTCAGTGAGGAAGACTTCTATTTCAGCCCAAGAAATTGCTTTGATACCAATTTGATAGGAAACACTTGTGGATCTCAAGAATTTCCTAGCAATCTTTAAAAAACAGCAAGAATTCTCCAAAAAATCCACCAAAAACTTGGAAAACAGTAGATAATTTGTTTTATTTGATGAAATGGAAATGAAAAACATCATGATACAATTGATCCTTTATTCGAGAGGATCTATCTCTCCTAAATCTGTAGATGTCGCTAGAGCTCAAAAACCTAAGAGATCTCAAATTTCAGCCAAATTCAAGATGTCATAACCCTAGGAAAACAAACTACTTATGCATACAATCCAAAAGGAAATATCTAAACAATTCGTGCATTCAAATTTCCCTCCTAACTCCCTTAAAAACTTTTCGTAAACAGCTCGATTGGCCTGGGTGGTGCGATTGGCACATACAGGAGGCGGAGAAGTTTCGCCTATGTTAGCATGAGCCGATCCCATATGGACCGGTTGGACTGGTCTAACAAAGTCCCAAGCATAGACAATAATCTGACTCAATATTTGAATCAATGCCTCTTTTGATCTAATGTATTGAGAATAACTTTATTCTATTAGCGGTTTAAATAGGAACACAAAGTTTATATTATCTTGTGTTCTAGAGTGATTTAGGTTCTTAAAACTTTTAAATTTCATCTAGTTTGGACCAGGCTACACTTGACTTGGAATGCTAGTAATATGGGTTTAAACAATTTTTTTTTTACTTTAGATTATGCTTTGTATTTTTCTTTTTGAATTAAAAAGAAATATTAATCTAAGGTCTTTAGAGATGTCTTCATTTATTTTTTAGACTTAATATTTTTAAGTACTTACTAGTTTTTAGATTAAATATTTAATTTTCTATTCTCTCATTTCCTATCTCAATCTATTTATTATATGCTAGCATCTAGTCACTGAAAAAATATGTCTAATAATTATCAGACAAATGTCAAATTTTCTTAATCAATTTTTTATTTAACAATATATAATTGTTGAAATATTGCATCTGGATATTATCAGACATACAATAATAAACAAATATTTGAAAGTAATAACTAGATGTTTCCTTGCAATAAATGGATTAAGGCAGGATGGCGTTGAGAGGGCGTGAGGGTTGGAACGCATGGTAAGCATGATAGGAAGAAGATAAGGGTATATTTTATAACATAAAATTTTCTTTATAAAACTTGAATGTTGAAATTTGATAAGGCTAAAGAATATTAAAAATTAGTGAAAGGATAATAAATGCAAATCAACTTAAGGACCCTAAATTCATTCCTCTAAATTTAAATTATGTCAAATGCCATCGGAAAAAAAATATCATTATAAGTACTTTAATCTTAACTACTTGAAGTTGATTTTATGAGTCCTTATTTTTTAATCATTCTTGTTGAGTGATCCCTTGGGTGCTAAATCTATTCAACACAAAAATAGGTTGAATAAGTTTTATCAATGTTACTTCAGCTATACCCTTTATCGCTCTAAAACTTTTGACAATAATCTTATTTAGTATGTATTAAATGTATTTTAAATTTTTTATTGTAAATTTCCAAAACATTGAAGCCTATTTTCAGATCCTATTTTCAATAGATGTTATTTCAATAAATTTTTTATTATTATCATTCTTTGATTTATCTTTTTTAAAATTGTCATTTCTGCTATGTTAAACTTAGTTATTAAATACATTTTCTATTATAATTAATTTATTAATTAGTTTTTTAGATTATCATTTCTTCTGTGTCCCAAAGTTTTTGCTATGATGTATTTACAGTTGAAGGTAAACTTGAATTATGAAGGTCAACCTTAGAGTCTAAAGATTTTTGCTTGAGTACATCTAAAACTGAATATATGGAGTATAATTTTAGAAGTAATAGACCTAGTGGGGCGATTGTGACTTTGGGCGATCAAGTCATTAATAAAAGTACACGTTTTAGATATCTTGGATCTATTGTTCCGAGTGATGGTGAAATAGATGGGGATATTATCAGTAGAATTCAAGTTGGATGGTTGAAGTGGAGGAATGCATCGGGCTTATTGTGTGATAGAAAAGTTCCCCTCAAACTTAAGAAAAAATTCTATAAGATGGTGGTGAGACCTGCAATGCTTTATGGTGTAGAATGTTGGCCATTAAAAGAGAAGCATAATACTAAGTTAAGTGTTGCAGACATGATGATGCTCAGGTGGATGAGTGAATTTACCCTTGAGACATGATACAAAATGAGCATATATGTGAAAAGGTTGGAGTAGCTCCAGTGGAAGATAAGATTAGAGAGAGTTGTTTTAGATGGTTTGGTCACATAAAATGACAACCTTCTGATGACACGGTTAGAAAAGTAGAGATGTTAGATTTGACTTATATTAAAAAAGATAAATGTAGACCTAAAAAGACTTGGTTAGAAAATATTAAAAAAGATCTTTCTTCGTTAGATTTAAATGAAAATTTAACTTTTAACAGAACACAATGGAGAAAAAGGATTCATGTAGCCGACCTGAGGTAGTGGGACAAATGCTTGATGATGATGTTGTTGTTGTATTTAGACAATTGCTTGATATTTTGAAAAAAATAAAATAAAGTGACCATCATATCATCATCATCATCATTAGCTTTATGCCAACTATTTAGGGTTGATTTTATGCTATGATGCACATACACGGGCACAACGACACGAAGCAGACACTGGACATGTCAATTATTAAAAATATAGGACACAGTCACGGGTTGGACACGGTATTATCATTTTTATATTTTAAAAAATAGTATATTTAAATTGAATAAGTATAATATTAAAAACAATTTAAAAATAATAAGTCATTTAACTAGAATTTGTGTTTCAGGCATCAATGCTATGCAATAAGTATCGGGCGTTGATGTCAAGAGGGCGTTGGTTGTCGTTATTGAGATGACATTGAGCAAAGATGAGTTGTCAAGTTGTGAGTGTAGAAATTGTTAGCGTTTAGCGTCAATGTCAAGACAGTGTCAAACTTTGATGTTGAGATAGTTTTGAAATATCGGTGTTATAACGACGTAAGATGTCAATGCTAAGATGACATGGAGCATTATTGTGAAACTAAAGTCGTGACTGCCAAAAAGAAATGAAAATGAGAATATTCGATGAATAGATATTGATTGTTGGCAATTGATTTGGTGTTGTGGATAGGAAATAAGAAATTTAGTTTTTATATTTTAAAATCGGAAACGTTTTCGGTGTGTCCGACACGTGTGGGAGGCTTGTAGGTCGCGTGTCGTGTCGGACACTTGCCGCCTCTTTGAGGAGAAGTGTCGGTACATAATAGGTTTATGAAACCTCTTTTTTCTTCTAAAATGATAATATTTAATAGAGAAAATATAAGTTTCATATGATACATTCATCTTGAGCTATGAATTTAAATATCAAGGGATCGCTTTTTAGAGGCCTTGAATAAAAAAATTCATATACTGAGAATTTTATTTTCATGTATCTAATTATTATTCTTATTGTACTTTCTATGGGAAAATATCCGTGCTCATGCATCTTCATGCATAACTTGATGAAATATAATATCGTGTAACTTCTTTAAGCTTAAAATAGGAATAAATAACAATATATATCCAAATATTTCTGAGCATTTTTCTGAATATAAGTTTCCATACCACCACAGAAGCTTTGAGACTAAAATAGTATAACTCGCCAAAAAAAAAAGAACAAAAAAAAAAAAAAAAAAAAAAAAAAAAAAAAAAAGAATGTTAACTTCTCAAAAAGAAATTAAGGGCTCATTGGATTTCTTTTAAATAAAAGCATATTTTAAAAAATAATGATTTTATTTTCACTCATTTTGAATATGAAAATGTAAGTTTTGAGTAAGGGGTATGAAGATTGAAATTTATGTTAGTGTTTAACTCCATCCAATCAAATGATAAACTTAACAAATTTCAGCTTTTTTGAAAACATGATTTCTAACTTCAATCAGCCTAATGAGACCTGAAAGGATAAGAACCCCCTCCACCCCTCCTTTTATTTATTATCCTCCTCTTGCTATAATCACTTTCTTGAATTTAAAAATCTGGAACATATACTTTGTTCAACGCAATTGGGTTCCTAATATCTTGGACTATTGATGATTATCATGTAATCTAATCATAAGTATTTCCAATGGCATGGTAATTTGGCAGAAGCAACACCAAAGTCGGTGTTGAGAGTGATGGGCATGAAGGGATTGACACTTTATCATCTCAAGAGCCATCTGCAGGTTCATCTTCTTCACCGTATTGACCTTATGTTATCCTTTTACTTCTAGTTTTTCATTTATAATTTAACCGTTTCCATCAAGTTCTGTTGCTGACGAGAACTGCCTTTTTGTATTTATCGTGCAGAAATATAGACTTGGAAGGCAAGCCCGCAAAGAGACTGGTCTTGATGGTATCAAAGATGGTAATATTTGTAATCTCTATTGACCTTTCAGCTCTTAAAAATGATACAAAGTATGCCTGGTTTTATTTGGTCTATGAGCAATGGATTTTATAGTAATAATTATCCGCTAGCTTCTTTCCTCAAAAATATTTTTGTTATCCTTCTTTTCTATTTACAGGTAAACCAAGTAAAGCAAGTTTCAACTCTTCTGCATGCAACATTGTTTCTAGCGGGAGCACTGGAGGGTATGTTCCTGTTTTTTTATTTTATTTTATTATGCCTAGGCAATCTTTTTGTCTAGGATTTTTATTGTTATTTTTTTGTTATCTTATTGATACAGTTATCTTTTGGGTGGCACTTAAACCTATATATATATATATACATATATATACATATATGATGTCACGAGGCGGTTGATCTGCAATACTTTATGCATCATTTAGTATTCTAGGAAGTTAATGTGTTAATAGTTTTACTTTTGTCTCAGAGAAATCCAGCTAACCGAGGCACTAAGATATCAGATCGAGGTGCAAAGTAAAATTCATGAACAGCTTGAGGTCCGCAGTATTTCTTTTCTCCTTCATCATTTCCAATCAACTTTTTCATGATTCTCAATATATCAATGGGACTGATTATATGTTTCAGGTGCAAAAGAAGCTCCAGTCAAGAATTGAGGCTCAAGGGAAGTACTTGCAGGCAATATTAGACAAGGCCCAGAAGGGCCTCTCCTTTGACACAAACAACAACAACAAGAACATGGAAGCTGCCAGAGCCCAGCTCAAAGACTTCAACCAAGCACTTTCTGGTTTGATGGACAATGTTAACCAGTTCTGTATTTCTAAGGGTTCTACAGAATTGGATAAAGTGACTGCTAATGTAAGCCTTAACAGTTCTCCAACAAATTCTGCCTTCCGGCTCTATCAAGAAGAGGAGTCTCCTCATAACCTAAAGTTTTCTTCACATAGAGGATCTCTCCTATTGGATTTGAATCTTAAAGGTAACCAGGATTTCTTTAGTGGGAATATAGGTAATGACTTAGATCCGCAAATGCATTTGCAAATAAGGTAACCATTGATCCTGCAGTCCCAGTCTTCTTGAGCTACAAATTTTCCAAAAGTTGCAATTTATGGAAGTTTTTGTTGTGTATAAATACTATTTGAATAAGTTGCTTGGCTTCAGAAGGTTGAAGAAATTTACTCCTGTAAATGTTACAGTTATAAAATTGATGAGCCATGAAATCTCTTGCAGTAAAAGACTATACATTTTGTTCCTCTGATTTTGCTGGAGTTGTTGTTTAATTTCTCTTTTATTCATTCTATTTATTTTCTTCCATATATTTTCATTTAATCAGATCGATACATGAGAAATCCAGGTGTTTTCTTCAATCTGAGGACGAGGAGCAATTTTTCAAGCCAAGTAAAAGACGAGGAATCAGGAACATTAGTGAACTTGCTTTTCGATTGTTTCATGCACTGGTTTGCTCAGCTAAGGCTCTTAGTGGAAGATTATATCAAATTTACTGCATTAGGGCATGGTCTTTTCGAGTATACAGAGGCAATGGAGAGAAATTATTGGGTTTGGACATTGGACACATGTTATCATTATTTACTTCACAGTATCGAGTAATAATGAACACGGTACTTCACACTACCGAGTAGTATTGAGTAGGAGGTGATGTGACGCATTTTCATTGGGCTGACCGGACGTCATCTGCGTGAGTTCGAACCAAAAAAATTTCCCCCTTGTCATATATGGATATTACTCTGCTAAGGCTCTTAGGTGGAATATTAGGTCAATCTGTTCCATACGGGATAGAATTTTTCGATAGACTGACATATGTTTACCATCACACAATGCTCCTCATTACTATATGATAATGTGTTACACAATTATTGAAAGTTTTGAGGTGACTCGAGCTTGGCACTAACATCTTTTGATAAGAATCAATGTGTGAGAAAGAAGAGGGGGGGGGGGGGTGGGGGATGGGGGGGGGGAGGATGGGGGATTCAAAATGAGATGATTTTGTTGGAATGAGAGAACTATTTTGCTTAGATATTATTGTATGAACTTGGTGATAAGTGTGATGGAGGCGATAATTCCAGTATAGCGATGGAGGGATGGAGGTGGATAAGGCCGTTGATGATTGTATGTTGGCTTGGATGAGAAGTAGGTAGAGGCTGTTACTACATGAAACTTGAGGAAGAATGAGCTTACGTGTGGGTGTTGGAAGGAGGCCTATGACGAATAATCAATGGGAAGAGTAACGGTGTGCCACTGTCGTGGTATGTTGAGGGCTAAAAGAGGGGATGTAGTGTTGGAGTCGATGTACCAATCAAATTGGTGTTTGGGAGAAGAAATGACAAGGGCTTTGGCCTATTGAGTTGAGGAAGATGCATGCTATAAGTTGAACCAGTGACAATAGGTGATGGCGGAATGGCCACGCTTGTTGTAGATCTGACATGTGATTGGAAGAGAATTGCCTCTACATCAATTAGAAGATTCTTCTATGGAGGGCAAGAACTGGCCTCATCCGCGAGAGGCTCTATTGTGAGGTGTGTAGAGAGCAGTGTGAATGTTTGCAATAGTTAGTTGTTGACCTTTAAGCTAAATACGCGCAATGTTTCACTTAAAGGGTAAAATGACCTCCGATCGTCAGATGGAGAGCTTCATTGCGATTGGATCTTCGAATTCTCCTTAGAGAGAATCCCTCGCTATCAAATCGGGTGCAAATGGTCAAAATGGACGGTTGATACCCAAAATTGATGTACGGCATTGCCCAAACGACGTTGTGTATATCGGGAGAGCAATGGAGAGATGGAGGCAGACAAGGATGATGAAGATTGTATATTCGCTTGGATGTGAAGTGGGTAGAGGCTGTTATAGAATGGACCATTGAGGAGGAGACGATTTGTCTTCAAATCCTTCGATAACTGAGAGCATCAAAAGAAATTGAGACATTATTATTGGTGGTAAGATTAGAGACCTAGAGAAGATTGTCTGATAGATGTGGAACATGAAAGATGTTAGGAAGAGTGAACCTATGTGTGGGTGTTATAAGTAGTCCTATACTGAATAAGCAATGGGAAGGGTGCCGATGTGCCTTTGTGGCCGATGGTAACATGATCGGTGTCGTGGTATGTTGAGGGTTGAAAGAGGGGATGAAGTGTTGGAGTTTATGTACCAACGAATTGGTGTTTGGGAGAAGCAACAACAAGGGATTTGGCCTGTTGAAAGAAGGAAGATGCATACTATAAGTTGAGTTAGTGCTAGTAGGTGAGGGTAGATGGCCACATTTTTTGTAGATCTAACATGTGAATTGAAGAGAAGTTCCTCTACATCAATTAGAAGATTCTTGTATGTAGGGAAAGAATTGGCCTCATCAGCGAGAGGCTCTATATTGAGCTGTGTAGAGAGCAGTGTGAATGTTTGCAATAGTTAGTTGTTGACCCCTAAGCTAAATACGCGCAATGTGTCACTTAAAGGATAAAGTGACCTCCAATCGCCAGATGGAGAGCGTCATTGCGATTGGAGCATCGAATTCGCCTTAGAGGGAATTCCTCGCGATCAAATCGGGTGCAAATGGTTAAAATGGACGGCTGACACCCAAAATCGACGTGCAACATTGCCCAAACAATGTCCAATCACAAAACGAACTTTGTCGATGCGTTTGAACATTCGAATCACCTAAAATGACTATAAATTTGTTCAATGAAAATCGTGTGAGGAAATCGATGCTTCTACCAAGACGAAAATGCACAGATTTTTAGAAAAAGCACAAAAATTGAGATAAATTTTATGATTTAGCTTCAACTATTTAATAATAATAATAGTAGTTTTTAATTATTATTAATGAAATTAAATTAACCAAAACAAAAATATATAATAAAATGCAGTACCTCGTATCCTATCTTTTTTGTTTTGGAAAATTTGGGGCAAAAGCCCATGTATTAAAAACAGAAATTGTTACAAGTAAGGTAAAATTTGTGAGGTCTAAAACAAAAACCAAACAAATCACCACAAAAAGAGGTCCCAGAGCCCAAAACAAAAAACGGCCAAAGGACCAAAGGACTCAGGCATACAGGTTAACTCCAAAACAGCATCAGAAATACTCAGCAGGTGGAAATGAAAGCAAACAAAAACTCAGCACCCAGGTTGCCACATAGGGCCGTCGTAGGGAACCTACAACCAACGAATCCACCAGGAGCTAACCCGGCTCATCATCGTTCAGCAAAACCTCCCCCGCCAAAATTGGCTAGAAAAAACCATGAAATTTATCTTTAAGCTGATCCCCATTCTTCCACATTTTAGTTTTTGCCAAAACAGAATCTTTAATAACCAGTCCAACAGCATACGGAGATCTCCAGGTATGAGAAAAACACCTGTTATTTCTTTCTCTCCATAAATGATAAATGGTGCAGTTTAAGAGAAGGAAACAAAATTGTTTCTCCAAACAATTGAAGGCAGGCACATTCTCCAGAAAATCAAATGCTTGCAGTAGAGTGGGCCTAAGAAAAAAACTCCCAAAAAGAGGCATTAACTCCGAAATAACAGTGAAAGAAAAATCACAATTGAAAAACAAGTGCCGGTGAGATTCCGGAAAAGCCTTGCAAAACGAGCAAAGAGGATAAATAGACATGCCATTGGCCAATAACACATCCACACATTTTAACCTCCCATGAACCGCCATCCAGGAGTAGCAAGAGAACCGCATAGAATATTTCTTATGCCAAATGAATTTACACCAGTTAACAGAATTCAGATTGGCGTAAAGGATGGTAGTAAATGTAACAGCAGTTTTGCTCATATCGTCCGGGCCGATCGTGGATCGTCCCGGGACAATCAGTTCAAATTTTGTTCCAGAATTGTACAGAAGTTACAGGAAAGTTTTCCTGTAAGGATCGTCCGGGCCGATCTGGGATCGTCCCGGGACGATCAGAGCAATGCACAAGTCAGAGAATAGGGGTTTTTATTGTCCAAGAAAATTAATTATCGTCCTGAGAAATCGTCCCAGGCCGATGGGATTTTGTTCAGATCGTCCAGGACGATCGTGCGATCGGCCGGGCCGATCAGAGTATTATTTAGCTGAAATCAGCTCATTTCGAAGAGAGAGAAAATCAAAATAAAAATATCTAATTTCTGAGGAGAGAGAAGGTCGAGGGCTAAAGTGGAAAAGTTGATTTTTGGGCAACGCCGGGCCGTTTTTGTCCGTCGAGACAGTTCAGAAAATTGGTGTATGCAAGGTAAGGCACATTCCGCCTTTCTCAATTTTTAGAACGGTGAAGTTTGAACGATTGTTCTGTCCGGATTTCGTTTTCGTTAGCAAATTTTGTCCGTATTTTCCGACTGGTTCAGTTTTTATCGCGTAACTTTTGATATGTTTTTGAGGTGCCGAGTGCGCACATTTTGATTATTTTCTGGAGATTTTCGACCGGATAGTTTTGATTTGGCGGCGTTTTCTGTTGACTATAAATTTTCACGATGTCTGTAAATGTTGTGGCAGTAGAATAAAAGTCTTATAATGTTGTTGTGAATGTTCTGTGGTAATTTGGTAAAATTCTGATTTGGTGAATTTTGTGTAAATTCTGTATACTGCCGTTATGACGCCGGATTTTCGTACAATTTCTGAATTTGTCCGGATTTGTTCTGAATTGAATTAATTATTCGTATGCTATTGATAGCCATAAGGGGAAGGTGCTGTAAGCACAAGGGAGCTATAAGGGGAAGTTCTGAGAAGTTCTGTGAAGTTCTGAAATTCTGTATATCTGTTCTGTTCTGGTGCTATGAGCACAATTGGGAGCTATAAGGGGAAGTTCTGGTGCTGTATGCACAAGGGAGCTATAAGGGGAAGTTCTGGTGCTGTATGCACAAGGGAGATATAAGGGGAAGTTCTGAAATCTGGAAGGAAGATCTGTTCTGAAATATTTGTTCTGATTTGATCTGTTCTGATTTGATATGTTCTGAATTGATATGTTCTGATACGATTTTGATATGATTTGATATGATTCTGATATGATTCAGTTTTGTTCTGATTTGATCTGATCTGTATGATTATGTTCTGTTCTGATTTGATCTGATCCGTATGATTTTGTTCTGATTCAATTTCTAGAATTATGATTTCTGTGATTTCTGTTCTGTTCTGATTCGATAGACGATTCTGTTGATATGATTTCTGTACGGATT